ATGTGAGATCTAGAGAGTTTAACCTTCTTTGTTACTAGCAAGATCAAGGCAATCTACTGTAGGATTCTTGACATGTGGTAGGTCTACACATGGCATTTCCCCCATTCTAAAACTGATCGTCTCTGTTAGTAACGTCGCTTCTGTAGGGAGTAAATTAGTCAAGATGGACGATCTCTATTTTTGTCCAAGATCTCTTCTGAATTCGATGGACAACGCCGTTATGCGTCGAGTAACGGCGTATGGACTACCCTAAGCTTGTAGTTTCGAGCAACGTCTCTTCCCTCATGATTCCACACTTTGCCGCCTTCATTAAAAAAAATGCTAGCCGGTGTTCTTTCAGTTGTCTTATATATGGAGACCTATTAGCTAAGAGGAATAATAGGAGGTATTAGCAGATCCCACTCAGCTTGGTCACTGTTGACAAACCTTCTTATGTTGGTCTCCTACCATTCTATCATACTGTGGATGTAAGAGCGCAGTCCCCCTTTTTTTAATTTGGTTACATTGTTGAACAAAATCGACTCGACGTGACTGTCTTGGTCAGAATGCAATTCCACTGGTACTTTATATCGGATAATCCAGCTATTGACAAGTATTTTGCCAACGTTGTGTGCTTCTTGATTTAGTATCGCGTATGCTTCGGGCCACTTGTTAAAACAACCCATGACGACCAACATGCATCGGTTATCAGAGTTTGTCATTAGGAATGGTCCTGCTACATAGACTGGTGTTCTCTCAAATGATGCTATCACTTCTCCTTTTCGGTTCCTTAGTGGCGGCGCATATCAGGTATTTCCTGGACTAGTTTTATATATTACTTCTAATTCGTAGTCAATAAAATCGCTCGCGTACCTTCCTTAAACCTTCATAATGCCAAAATGTCTTTCGCCATGGATTGCTTCTAATACTTTTGCAATCCTGTTCTTCGGAAGTACCATTTGAAGTTTGTTTATGGTTTCATCTACCACATTATTTTCAAAACATTGTGGTCCTAGATAAGGGAAGTCCATTGGACCCAATAATTTTTGGTTGTCTGACTTAAGTGACCCAAATCTGCCCGCAATGACCTTGAGGCTTCCTTCCATCTCATTATTAGGTCAACATCTTCGTCCTTCTCCTGGTCCTTGATTAGTTCATGATTTTTTAGAATCCCTCAAACTGAATGGTAATTAGCTTGCAACAAATTGATGCTAGTTTCCCTTTCTTCTTTCTGAACAATGTTTGCAGATTCCCATGCAAGATCTCCAAAATAGTGCATCGGCGTTGTCGTGTTGTTTGCCTGGGCGATGTTTGGAATTCGTGTAGTCGCTGTAACCTTCGTGAAATCTGTTCTTCCGATTCTCATCCAACTCCGCAGGAAGACCGACTTTTGTTTAAGGAATACCCTTGATCAATTCTTTCACAATTCTGGCGCTTCGAATGACCACTGTGGTTCTTGCAGATTTGAGCAAAATAACTAGTCTTTGCACATTTCCAAGATTTCACTCTCTTGAGGGGCACTCTCTACTTAGGTGACCTGCTTTCCCATAATTTGAACTCTTCCGAACATTATTGTAGTTGTTACAGTCTCGGAAAAAATGTCAAAGCCTTCCAGATTACCAACAGTTTGGGTTCGCTCGTGTCTGTAGCAGTTGCTGTCTTCGCATCTACTATGCATTCTTTGATGAGCGACACCATACCATCTTTTGATATTTGTGCTGTCGTCAATTTCTACTTGTTGCAACAATATGTGGCTATTGGAAGCTCGCTTCGTTGGTTCAAAATGTATGACATGTGACAATGCTTTATTTGGAGTCTTATGACGTGCTAGTCTAAGGACGTGCTATACTTCGCTGTCAATGACTCTTTCCATTAATGTTTGATCTGCCAGTTGGTCTTTGAAATCTTAAGGGACATAAGGGTAGACTTGCGGACTAATCTCATTAGGCGCTCCACATATGGCTGAAATTGCTGAAGAGTCTCCTTACTTTCTTGGTTACGACTTTTTATTTGCTTCTGATGTACCTGTTGGAGACGTTTCAGTCAGTAGTAGTAGTCAGACAAATCTGTACCTATTAGGATGCACTACTTTTTTTGTCTTAACATCAATATCTACAAATGATGTATTTATTTTATGCACATCTCCTGTACAATACCCTTCAAATAATATAAGTTTAATTACCCTCCATTTGTAATAGATAGATACCGAAAAAAATTTTCCAGGTCTAAAATTTCTAAGTTTTTTTTTTTAATTTAATACATATTCCATAAACGAACAATGGAAAACGCGAAAACAAGTTCGTTGGTGACGTCAGTTAGCCTACCTATGTACATTATAAAGAGGAAAATGATGCATTTAATTTACGAAGTGAAAACTTCCTAAAGAGTTTGTACCTTATATAATACATATGTATACGTATATGTATGTATATTGTGGGCGTATTCCACCACCCACGAGCTCTCAATTCTGAAAAATTTGTTTACAATTTCCGTTAACGTTACCTGTCCTGAGCGTTATCAGTTTGGTCGATGTGAGGTGGTAAACGGAGTGTCCAAGGCGTCGCGACGCGATGTGGCGCCACAATTGGCGTCTCAGTCGACCGTCAACTCTTTTCCTAGACGCATGTGCTTGAATACCGGCCGTTATTTCCGCGAAAATAACTTATCCGGAGTTTTCAAACAGGTTCATCTTCGCTTTCGGGAAGGAAATAATAAAATAAATTGATACTGACTATTTTATCGGAGTTTTTTTAAATGTGTTTTATTAAAACAGATGTTCTTCAAAATACTTTTGATAATGTATAAATATGTATTAGCAGTTTGAAAGAAGGGTAAGTTATAACTTGTTGACTATTTCAAAATATTTTCCATTTAATGCTGTCATTCATTTTGACGCTTCCTTGATATGTTTAAACAATTCTGCGTTACGTGCTGAAAAGCCTTATAATATTCCAAAGTTTCTCAAGTTCGCACTTCTAACAAATAAATAATGAAAAGGTAACTGAAAATTAATTTCTTACCTGAAATAATAAATGATAGAGTAAATTTGAATAATTTTAATATTTTATATATTTCTACTTGCGGATTAATTATTCAGAAACATAAAACAATATTATGCATAAATTAAAGATGGGGTTTGGATCTGATACTCAGCGGATCTGGTACTATTTTTAGGATTCGGCGGGATATTGGATCATGGTGCCAGTACAGCAGTAGGTACTTATTAATTATTACGAATTCAATTTAACACCGAAGTTGAAATTCTAACGAGATCAGAAATGCTAGATCGTTAATCACCACTTTCGAGATAGTATGCGAACGAAAACTTCGCACGTATAACAATACTGCGAAAAAGTAACTTCATTTTTTTTTTTAAACAAATATCAATAATTTAAATATACTCACATGTAAAAACAGTCTTCAATAATTTGCCTGGATGTACAAACTTAAACTAAAAAGTTAAGAAGATGTGATCTGAATNCAAGATCAATATTAAGACCAAACGATCAAAACGAAGACTAAAAGCAAGACTGAGTATGCAAGACCAATACCAAATATGCAAGATTAAACGAAAAATTATTACTTCTGGTGGATTAAAGAGTTAAAAACTATTTAAAGTAACCTTAATATAACTTTTTCCAGTTCAAAATTTCTTTATAAGAAGTCTGTTCAAAAAGTATCGAGAATTTTGTGTTTTTTCAAAAATTATTTATTTATTCAGGAATATCTATTTTGTCCCCTTCAAAGTAATCCCCACCAGATATTATACACTTATGTCTTTAATCGTAGCGTAGCGTCGTCCTTTCATGGACCTCTTCAGTTTCAGGAACAAGAAATGTCACAGAGGACCAGATTTGGGCATAACGGTAATTACGGCATCATTAGTGTATTGTTTTTGGCCAAAAATTCGCTCGCAAACAACGATGTGTGTCAATTTCTGTTTTTCACAAATCCGGGTCTTTCTGTAATATTCCTTATTGATTGTACTACCCTCGTGATGCACCCAGCAATCTTAGAAAACTGTAAGCAAAATCTTCACATTCGAACTAACTTGGCTCGCTTTTCCGGTCTTGGCTCATTGACGATTGAGCTCTGGCTGGACTTGTCGGTATAAGTGGGAGACATGCGTACCAACATAACGCCTCAAAAAAAATCGAAAATGGAATTTACGTAACCCGCGGAAATTCAAAATTCGCAATACTTTTTGAACAGACCTCGTATTTGAAATTTTTAGTTACCTTTACTAGATTTTAACACCGAATATACAAAAAAAGAATATCTTCGGGGAAGGTATTCTTTGTTCCTATATATGAATAGCACATGCTTGAAATATAGAGACAAATTGTTGGTAGTCGAAAGCATCAAAATTGATAATAATAACTAGTATGCTCGATGGTTGCTATATATAAATTCGTGGGCATCACTCAAAGAATTGTAGTTCATTAAGGTATTACCGGAATGAAAACAATTGAATAAAATTAAATAAATAANATATCTTTAATAATATTTATGATAATAGAAACGTTTGTGATTAGAACTATTTAAAAAATTAGATTAAATGAGCAAGACCAAGATCGACACTGGGACAGTATTGGTGCTTGCTTTGCTTATCATTAAAAATGAGCAGATGCTGAATGTGATGATTACTTTCTATCGTCGTATTAGGCATCTACTTATTTTGCACCGAAATTCGACATTCGAGTATAACATATAGATATCTACAGTGAAAGATTATAATAATACCTAAGATAATTCGATAAGAATTAATAATTTAAAAAAAAAAACGTTGATGAACAAATGCCGCTAGATGGACGTATGAACAATTTACTTTTACAAATTTGCGTTTACAAATCAAGTTTTGACTGCCTTATTGTTTAAACTTTTAATTGTTATAGTTATCGTTTAAAGAACCGACAAGAAAATTATGTCTTAGGATCGGGAAACATCGTGCATTAGCAATTATCTTTTCTTTTTTAAAGAAGCCTTTTTTTATAAAATTTTCGATGTTAATTTTAACATACCCTGGGAAGGCCAAGTTGCAAGAAGCCGATTCTGATAGATATCGATAATCTCAAGCACATTTTAAGGACATTTAAAAGATGATCAAAATAGGTATTGAATCTTCTTCTTTTTCTTCCCCTTCCCAGCGCTCTAGAGACCTTTACCACAGGATACCTTTCACACTTTCTACTTCCGTTTTTATGGCTTGACGAAATCTAAAAAATAAATCTTTTTGACTGAACGGCATTTAATTCACTTACTCTGTTTTTCGCACGTACCCTAAAGCTACACGAATTTTTCAAAGCTGACTGTCGAACAATGAAACTTAAATTTAAACATTCTCCTATTAAATGCATAAGACGGCGATGTGCTTTAGATACATAAAATATCTTTCTAGCATCAATAACACGATCCATTATTTTCTTCTTAATTGGACTTTGTTTTGGAATAGGTGCTGTTGTTTGGAAAAAAACTTATTATTATCATAATTACTTGGTTGTTGAAAGAGAGAGGAATGGAGAAATAAATGAAATCGAACCCAGTTTTTCTTTTGTTTTTGTATTTAATATAAAGCAATTTCGATGGATTGTTTGACAAGGCTGACCTACTTATTCAGATGAATATCAATCTTGTATTTAATTTATTTTTTATTTCTAAGAGGGTTTAATTTACTGTAACTTTGCAGGCATGTTTGAGATGCGGAAATGTGAATGTTTACACAAAATGCAGATTTATTTTAAATGCTTGAAATGTTAAAATATCGGTAGTGTTACTATTACTGAATTTTAAATGTTTAGAAGAAATTTTGATAGTCTCCTTTCCTTCATTTCGTAAAATCTTTGCTTATACATAAAACTCTTAACTCCATCATAAGTTTAATTGTAGTATTTTTAAAGTGAACTAAAACAACTTGAAGGATGACTCTTTGGATTAGCTTTGAATTCATTATTTATGGACAGCTAGTAACCACTTCCGATAAAAATTTATGTATTCACTACGCTTTTATAATTTGTATGTAGCCCATGGAAGGGAGTCAGACGGGGATGCACACTGTCACCGCTACTTTTTAATCTATACATCGAAGACGCGATTAACATCATTAAAGACAGTACAACTGTTGGGATAGATATACAGGAGCAAAAGATTAGTATGCTTAGATTTGCAGATGATATAGCAGGATATAGCTACCTATTTTTCTGATTATATTTAAAAGCCCTACTTCTTTTCTCTTACTCTGTGTTTCAAATCAGTGACGCAAATGACATGTACTATCCTATTCAATACTTTTGTAAAAAATTAGGCGCCTTACAATTTTCCTCAGTATAACCAGTAAAATCACAATAATATTGAAACTGGTCTATAATATTGCAGTAGTTGGCGCTGACTTATAATTTTATAATTTTACTAGGCAGATTGATATTCCGGTTTGGTTTTGACAATAATCCTGCGGTATATGTACCTTATGTACCGAAATATAGAAAAGGAAAAGTAGGTAAATATTTCATTTTAGATCTTCATAAACTCGTCAAAAATATTTGGAAATCATTGAAAATCTGTCTTTCTGGTTAGCCAGTCATCTTGAAGGGTAATTTTTATTAAGGTGTAAATTAATAAGTAAAATTAAAAAGTAAAATTCCACATACCAGCCCAGTTTTGAACAAAAACCACTACTCAACGGTTTTGCGATTATCTATCAACCCATACGCACAATAATAGTTAACATAGTCAAAGAACATACTATATACATATAAACAGTGATAACATTGTTCATTTTGTTTTAGATAACATATTATAAGATGACATATATTTTTGTAGTTTGTTCAGTAAAGCGTATTAGTTCTCAAATGTAGAATAAAAAATTATTTTGAAGTGCATTTCATTATTACGTAAATTAGGTATAAATATTTTCTATTTGTAATTTAAAGATAACTTTTGTTCTTCTTACCTCAATATTTCTTATGTGCAGCAAAAACGGTGCTAATGCAGGTGTGGATTAAAAATGAGGTCTAATAGAGTGCCATAAGCGCTTCTTGTACAAATGTAGAACTTCAAAAATACTGAAAAAATATAAAAAAGAACCTGCACAGAACGTCAAAAGTCCATACTTCAAAAATTTTCATAAGTATCTTAGATTTCCTAAAACTGCACGTTTCAAATATTAACTAATGTTTATAACTAAAGTTTAATAATAAAGTAAAAAATAAAAGCCTATGCACAGTATCCCGATTAAAATAAAGAAGCCAATTTGGACTGTGGATGGAAGTTATAAACTAACAGATAGATAATAATATTCATATGTTTATTCAAGTTATATATCGTTAGCCTTATATTGGTAGATAAGTGAGTGTATATGTAGATGAAAAATTTTTCGGTTTTCATGGTCGAATTTCATACGTTTCATTTTCTGCTGTGGTAGACACCATCTGAAACACAGTCGAAGTCTTCTTGGCGAAGGCTTAGCTATGAGTAAACATATATTTAAAAACTAATTTTGGGTGTTTAATTCCCACCTCCTAATGCTGATAGGAAGACAGTCCCTCCAACTATTACCATGGTACAAATTTGGAGCGGAAAACTTTTTAATGAGGCTGATTGTGGTAATGGGTTGATATTCATCATCGTAAGTCCCATAGGTCATAACTGGTTGGATACGCACCTCCACTCTTTCCTATCCTGAGCTAATCTTCGCATTTCCCTAAAACTAGAACATCCTACATCTTTAACTATTTACCAACACTAATCTAATCTAGCTCTATCTCTACTCCTTTTAACTCCCGTTTCTGATATGTCTCTGATTAGACTTTCATACATGAGAAAGTGTCCCACCAAACTTTCTATCCTATTTTTTATTAACTTCCATAGAGTCCTCTGTTCTCCTATTTTTGTTCATAACTCCTCATTTCTAACCTTCTCTATAAACGGTATCCTTATCATTTACTAGCAGCACATTTCGAACGCTTCTAACCTTATCTTTTCCGCTGCACCCACTATCCATGTTTCGCACCCGTACAGTGCCGCGCTCGAAACATACACCTTTAACAATCTTTTTCGAATTTCTAAATTAATCGTTTCGAGCATAGAAGTGACTTTTTAATGAAATCGACCCTGCGCTATCCTCTGCTTTATACCCCTACTACTCCTTCCGTCCTGATTTACTTGACTTCCTAGATACCTAAAATTAGCCATTTCTTCATCCCCCATCTTTATATTCGCCCTTTTCCTACTTTTTATTCACTTGCATACCAATATTATTGTTTTAATTTTATTCATTTTCATACAATACTCTTTTGTCAATATCACTTCCTTTTCATTTAAAGCTATCTCTAACTCCTCCTTGCTAAATGCTAATACTGCTATATCATCTGTAAATCTAAGCATGCTAATCTTTTCCCCATGTATATCTATCCCCCACAGGTGTACTGTGTGATGTTGATCGCGTCTTCGATGTATAGATCGAAGTATCACTCTTGGGTTAATGATGGCTGAGAAATATGAGATTGGTGAAATAAAGACAGAAAAGAAAAGCGAATCTAATATGTGATTATTTGTAGAATAGCCTTGCTGCTCCAGTACTTGTTTGCTTCAGTGCTTCAAAGAAACTACAGAAAACCTGTCCATTCGGACTATGACGGAGAGTGGAACCGATGGCCATCTTCACCTTCCTTTTAGGACTTCTGGGAATGGGTGGGTGCTACAATTATGGAAAAATATGAGACGGTTGATGTGAAGACAAAAAAGAATAGAAACATAATTCCATTTTTTTTCCTTGTTTTAAATTTTCCATCTTAAATATTATTTCAATAATGCCTTCCGTTTTCTCACTCTTTCTAATACCTTCACATTTATAATTCTTTTTATCTACGGTGTTTTTGACATCCTTCTATAATGCATCATCTCAAACCTTTTTCTTTTCTGCAGTGCCCACCGTCAACGTTTCACACCTATACAAAATCATCATCTATACAACAGGTACACCATCGTTTTTGAAATTCTTAAGCAATTTATATCTTTACCGCTTTTTCAAACAAAATAAGTGACATTAAATGAAATGTAAATAAAAACTCAACTTAAAACACTAGATGACAATAAACAATGATTCAGTGTAAGAGATATGTATCTCTTCTATTTATGTTCTGCAGAGACGCCCAAGGATTCTGAGGAATGCATAGCTCACCAGATAAATGAAATCAAACATCCATGCTAATCAAAAAGTACTACACACATCCTGCAGACTAGAATAAGATGAATTTGTTGTCAAATACTCGAATACTTTTCGATTCAGAGTATTAGAATGCTTTCTGACTTAGAGTACGTATTCAAATACAAAATCCTGCCTCAACTTTGCCTTGATGCGGTCGGTGTGGCATAGGTGTACGAAATTTATTCTACTGCTAACCTCTTTTAATAGTAGTTACGTAGAATATCTTCTTGGCAGTCGATATATTTAGTTATTGCTTATAGGAATTGAACTGTTCTTTTTACTTATAGTATAGCCACATAATAAAAGCACCTTTCTCTACTAG